TTGGCAGTTTCAGTGGATTTTGTTTCAGCTGCCTGTGACTGTGAATGATGCTAACAGTGATGTTTTTAAAGTTCCTTCTAGTCCTTATGAACATAAGAGTGACTGCAGGGTGCATCTTGTTGATGAGGAGGTCATTTAGAGAACAGACTTCATGTTCCCAATTTAGCAGAGCAGGAGCTAGGGATCATCAGCCCATCTGCCAATGGTCACTGGAGAACATCCGTTACTCCAACAACTTTATGCAGCATTGCTGTTTCTGTGTATTTCTGTCTGTGCATCGCACACAGCAATCACAGCCTATTCCATTTCTGTGGACAATGTAAGGGTGTGTCTTAAATCAGTCCCCAGTTCAGGAGGAAGAGTGAATCACTGAGTGAATTGGATTTCAGGCACTGATTCAATAAATATGGGGATGAGTCACTGATGACCTGCAACAAGACTTCAAGGCACCACATGATAATGCCGCATCAACAAGTTATGTCCCTGAAGTCAGGAAGACTAAAACATAAAACTCTGAAATTAAGAATAAACTCCACTAACTGTTCTCGTAGCTGTAGCAATGAATACATTTTCTTCTCAAGGGATTCTTTTCTGAGAAGAGACTGGAACAACAGCTCCTATCGCAGACCCCCTGAGCAGTTACGTTACTTACTGAACCAGGAATGGGTTTGACACAGACCACAAATCTGTCTGTCCCTCTTTTTCTCTCTCACCCTGTCTCTCCTTTCTTGTTCTGTACTTGTGTTTTTGGCAGTCGCAGGAGAGTTTTCATTTGCAGCCCATTTTCCTCCTAATAGCAGCTTGTGTGTGTGTGTGTGTGTGTGTGCGTGTGTGCGTGCATGTGAGTGTGTTGCCTTGTGTGCGTACACCTGTACCATCATAGAGCGAAGAAAAAGACGAGTCAATGATGCCAGGATACTACTCTCAGGGCCCTTCTAAAGTCCTCCATGTTTTTAATCACCAGCAACTCTAACATCTAATTAATCATTAACATTTCTCCTGCTGATCCTTAATCCTCTGAGGACACCTTGCAGAACATCTCTCTCTCACATTATCTTTGTTTCTGTGTGTGTGTGCATATAGTATATGTGTGAATCATTGTGTGCTTCAGTTTTGAGGCAGGTGGGTAGGGTGGTAGTTAGGATAGCAATTAGTGTAGTCGAGGGTGTCAGCAGGCTCACAGTGCGAAAACGATGTACATAAGAGTGTGCTGACCAGAACACCTTTTTACACTGGTGCATGTACGAATTGTTTGCCTGCCAATGACACAGTATAAGCACCTTCCAAATAATACAAGGTTAAAAAAAAAAAGAGGAATCAAATAATATTTCTTCTGCCATAAACTATTCCATTAGCTTTGATATCCTCTCGGAGCCAAGTGATGTTAACATTAGCTTCTGTGAAATACAACAGGTGGCCAACAACAGATTTAACAAGCGCCATTAGATAAAAGGTTGGAAAGAAGTTGAATTTGGTGTTTAATTTAATTTAGTTTCATTCATTTCTGAAACTCGCCCCAAAAAATATACAGTTAAGGAAAAAGGAACAGGGTATTCCTAAATATTGATCAAACTAATGGATAATAATTTGAAAAAGGAATTTACAACAAAAGCTGCTCATTTCTAAATGTGATCTATTAAATGTTTATATTGTAGACAGATTTCATATATATATGAGAGAGAGGGAGAGAATAATTAGTTTTAGCTTGTTTTTACAACACAAGTTAATTGCCCTTAATTTAATAATTCAACCTTGTTTTCTTTTTCTTGTAGTTGAAAATAGAAAAAATAGGGCAAACAAATACACACCTCAGAAGCCAGCTGTTGGATTTATAACATGCACCGCAATATTACCATGTTGTGAGCAAAAGTTTTTTATTTTATTTTAGTGGATCTAATGCCATTGAAGAGAGAAATGTGTGAAAATTAAACCTTTAAGTGTCCAAGGATGTGAAAGGAACGATTATGTGAAACTCCATTTATTTTCTCAATTGAGCATCTTCCTTTGATCTGGGTGTTCATATTATTCCCAGTAGTGGAAATGAACTGCTGCAGCACTTTATCTGGACACACTCGTGAGAAGGCTCCACTTTAAAACTGACCTTGCGTCAGTCAAGAATGAACACAATGAATTATTCAGTCTCTTGTGAATGCAACCTATACTGAGTGCATCAAAACCTTGGCTTCCTGCGATCTATACTACTGCCTGTGATTAGTTTTTTTTCCTGGTGTGTGTGGCCCAAGCTGAGAAACTAAAAATCAGGTGTGTGTGAGTGTGTGAGTGTGTGTGTGTGTGTGTGTGTGTGTGTGTGTGTGTGTGTGTGTGTGTGTGTGTGTGTGTGTGTGTGTGTGTGTGTGTGTGTGTGTGTGTGTGTGTGTGTG